TTTAAAATGACTTCCACCAATACAACCTACCACTCCAGGGATTCCATATTTTCTGTAAAAACTGAATTTTAAAATAAATATTAACTGAATCTAATGATTAATTTGCATTAGGTTGTTTAAAAATAAGCATATATTTATTATCGTTGACTAACTGCTTGTCTAGCAGCTGGAGTATCAGGGAACCGAATATATTTATTTATTATATTTTTGTCTGTCAGCGCCTGAGTAACTTCTTCTATGAATTCTGCATATTTTTTGAGACGTGTGCTTTGCAACCCCAACTGGCCTTTGGTAGGATCCAGTTGCAAAAAAGAATAGAGCAGTGAGCACCTGCAATTAAAAAGAGAACAAACTTATATTTAAACTTGCACTTGTTTTAAACTTGAGTTGCAAAAATGTAAATACTTTAATGATCGATACATACTTTATGTTCCAAGGAAACGCGTTGAGAGGACCTAAGATTTGTCAAACTCCTTAGTTCTTTACACAAAAACTTGAAGACTTTCTTGGAAATGCGATATCTATCTTTAAAGTGCCTGCCCGTGAGATGTAACAAAGGGTTGAAAGATGCACGAGTTCTTCTTTCAACATTGGCGTTACAATTGCGCTCATCTTGTGCCTTAGCGGCTGCAAACATCCTCCATGCAAAAAAAAAAAACGTTCTGCCATAATTAAATATTGTTCACACAAAACGAAATAAAATTAAACCTTCAACAATCGTTCTCACTATGCTTTCTCACTGTCAAAATTTAGGTGAAAACTTTTTCGATATCGACGGCGTAAAGTTTGTTTATGTTACGTTGTGCCTAGTGCGAGTTCCACAAAATAATTCGAATGACTTCACCATCGCGTTAACCGAGTTAACGTCATACCTATCGACAAGTGAAGACATGCGAGTGTGTGTTACAATCGAAGCTAACCTTTCGATTCGCGTTTACTCACCGTGAATCGCGTTTGTTTCTTCTCTTATGTTGGTAACACGTGAGCATCGTGAAATAAACTAACCAAGTTTAGGATGACATATTTACTTAGTCGTCTTAATATAAGAAGCTGTCTATCAAAGTTGTGGTTATTATAGCATCTTTCATATACTTTGACAGTTTGTGTTTGTTGTGAACTTACGATTTATTTATTTTAATTGAAAATATTAAATTATAATTATAAGTAAAAAAAGAAGAAGACTAGTTCGTCCCAATTCGATTTGATGGTGACATTTATGAAGCAGTAAGTTGAATTTAATTTATTTAGTGTTTAGGGAACATATTAATATGTTGTTGTATATTTTGTAACTAAGTTTATTGGTTTTAGGCATGGAGATCTCAGCAAACCATCCAATAATGCAAGAGGTAGGATGGCTTGTATAAAAAACTGGGAGGAATTAGCTCAATTTTTGAATAGTGATGGTAGTGGTGATACAAAAAGTACTGAGAAATGGAAGAAGGTACGTCTAAATGATTATTTATTTTTATATATTTTGGTTTAAACTGGGTTTTGGTTCACTAATTCTATGAAACATTTACTTCAAAAAAAAAGCCAACTTGTCTGTCTTTTTGGTTCTTGTACACAACTACTAGGTATATTGATTTTGTTGAAAGTTTCATTTATATTTTTCATATTTAACTAATGGAAAGTAAGATAGAACTTTAATTATTCATGAAGGTGATAATTTTAAATAAATTTGAAATTATTACAGATACGGGCATGCTCACTCCAACTGTGCTCTCATCTCAAGTCCAAGAAAGTCAACCAGGGCCTACTTTGTCGGGGCAAACTACACCTTGCCGTGCAAGACCAATTCGTACTCGAGGATCACCTCGAAGAAGAGTGAGGCCAGCACACACAGAGCAGGCAGCACAGCAGTTTCTCCAAGCCGAAGAACACTGGAGAAACTTTTTTTTTATAGGATAGGGTGACAAATGAGCACACAGTCCACCTGATGGTAAGTGGTTGCTGTGGCCCATAGACATCTACATCTATCCTCGCTTGCGAATCAAAATGCAGATGCCTTGTCACCCATGAGGACTAAGATGGAATGCCTCTTTTCCAGTAAAAAGGGACTCCGGTTCTCTACACTCACCATACGAAACACAGCAGTGTTAGGCTGCTATTTTATGCTGGTATTCTGTGAGAGCGTGGTCCTGCCCCGGTCGAGCCGACCTATTTGTGCTACAACTATACTACTATTATAGCTGTAGCATGGCTCTACAAAATTATTTAGATTACTTTTCTGTTCTGTTTCAATGTTCTTGTAATTATTAAATTATTGTATTAAGTTGTAATTGTAATTATTTAATTAAATTTGTGATAAAATTTAAGGCTGGTTATAAATAAAAGAAAGATTTAAGCTTATTCAAATTTATTTATTTAATCCCTATAGTAACCTTCTTGCTAATTGATCTCTTAATATTCTGCCTCGAATTAAATCAGAGGTAGCTTCTCTTTCTGTGTAACTTATTTGATCAGATTCCACCATTCTCCTTTAAAATTGCAGACCTAAAAATAAATCATAATTAATAAGTTTACTATTTATAAGTTAGCTTAATATATTATAGTAATTCAATTTAAAATTAAGATACCTACCTATATTTTCCTCTGTATCCTTAACACCAAAATTAATAATTATATTATGTAACACAGAGCATGCTAAAATAATGTGTGCACATTTTACGGGCTTGTAGTGCAAAACTCTATCCTTGTGCAGACATCGCCGTCGATTTTTCAGCCTTGAAAATGTGTTTTCAATAACAACTCGAGCTCTCATGTGTTTTTCGTTATAATTATTGGACTCAGTGTCTAAAAATGTTGTCATAAGCCATGGGCGTTGGGGATATCCGGAATCTCCTAGAGTTAAAATATACATGTTATTGTCAATAATATAGATAGAAATTATTTAGTAATGTTTTACTTAAAAATACTTCATATAACTCAAAACATCCCAATAAGTTATACTGTGGATATATTACCTAAAAGCCAGACAATTTCTCCATTTCGGTGCAAAGATTGCACATGTGTTTAAATTACTGTTTTCCCATATAAAGGAATCATGATTTGCACCTCCAAACTTGGAATTCACATTTAAAACTCTATATTCATCATCACATACCTGAAAAGAAGACATTTTGTTTATTTTCTACCCCTTTTTAACCAAGGAATAATAAAAAATAAAAAAACTTAAGATTTACCATTTGAACATTAAGTGAATGGTAGTGCTTACAACTATAATACAAATGTTCCTCTTCTTTTGGTGGGACAACTATTTTAAAATGACTTCCACCAATACAACCTACCACTCCAGGGATTCCATATTTTCTGTAAAAACTGAATTTTAAAATAAATATTAACTGAATCTAATGATTAATTTGCATTACGTTGTTTAAAAATAAGCATATATTTATTATCGTTGACTAACTGCTTGTCTAGCAGCTGGAGTATCAGGGAACCGAATATATTTATTTATTATATTTTTGTCTGTCAGCGCCTGAGTAACTTCTTCTATGAATTCTGCATATTTTTTGAGACGTGTGCTTTGCAACCCCAACTGGCCTTTGGTAGGATCCAGTTGCAAAAAAGAATAGAGCAGTGAGCACCTGCAATTAAAAAGAGAACAAACTTATATTTAAACTTGCACTTGTTTTAAACTTGAGTTGCAAAAATGTAAATACTTTAATGATCGATACATACTTTATGTTCCAAGGAAACGCGTTGAGAGGACCTAAGATTTGTCAAACTCCTTAGTTCTTTACACAAAAACTTGAAGACTTTCTTGGAAATGCGATATCTATCTTTAAAGTGCCTGCCCGTGAGATGTAACAAAGGGTTGAAAGATGCACGAGTTCTTCTTTCAACATTGGCGTTACAATTGCGCTCATCTTGTGCCTTAGCGGCTGCAAACATCCTCCATGCAAAAAAAAAAACGTTCTGCCATAATTAAATATTGTTCACACAAAACGAAATAAAATTAAACCTTCAACAATCGTTCTCACTATGCTTTCTCACTGTCAAAATTTAGGTGAAAACTTTTTCGATATCGACGGCGTAAAGTTTGTTTATGTTACGTATTGAACGATCAAAATCGGCGCTCGCACTCGCAAAATACTTGAAACAACCAATCACGTGCGTTTACGTTCTCACTGTCGAATGCGAGAGAATGCTCGATGGTCGATATCGACAACGTAATAAACTCGCACTCATGAATTGTGATTCCGATTATTGCCACTAGTTGGCGCTGATTTTATTCCATACAAATTGTAGTTAACTTTCTCGGTATCGAACGTGTAAAAAAACTCGCACTAGGCACACGTATTGAACGATCAAAATCGGCGCTCGCACTCGCAAAATACTTGAAACAACCAATCACGTGCGTTTACGTTCTCACTGTTGAATGCGAGCAGTGCTTCCAGTGTGCCTAGTGCGAGTTCCACAAAATAATTCGAATGACTTCACCATCGCGTTAACCGAGTTAACGTCATACCTATCGACAAGTGAAGACAAGCGAGTGTGTGTTACAATCGAAGCTAACCTTTCGAGCAGTGTTGCCGATTTGGCATTTTTAATGCTAAATTTGGCATATTTTTAAATCTGTTGGCATGAAAAAATTGGCTTTAGCATATTGCATATTTAAGCATCTTTCGAATTTTACCTACTAATGATGTTAACTCTTTTTATGGGATAGACAAATTGTTCACAATCACTGCCATATCTATTATATATTATTCTGTACAAAAGATTGAATTAAACCCATAGACAAAAAAATTAAAATTGTTACTATGATTGATTATTATGGCAACTCTGTTATGAATTGGGGAATTTCCCGAATAGTGAAAGATTTTGTTTAGTATTCCGAGTAAGCAATGTGTAATGTTTTGTTTCATTCGGATTCAGAACATTACTTAACAAGTGCGAGTACCGATACTTGTAAAAGCTTTAAAATAAACGTCTGTGTTTTTGTTTTGTGTGTGTGTGCTTTAAAAGTAGTTTACAATTGACTTTTGAGGGAAAATATGCCTCCAAAATATGAACAACATTATCGAGAAGAGTGGGAGAAGATGAGTGAGTTTAAACAATGGCTTACACGAGCTAAAGAAGATTCGACCAAAGCTTACTGCAAATACTGTAAGTGCGACATTATAGCCAAAGTATCCTGTCTAAAACAACACATTGTTACATCAAAACATGCGAAACATGTTGCGCCGAAAAAAAGTCAAAAAAAAATTGTTTTTCCTAAGGTGCATATTCAACTAGTTACCCAAAAAGCAGAGTGTTCACTTGCATTATTTATAAGTGAACATGCATCTACTCTAACAGTGGACCATTTGTCCGAAATGTGTAAAAAAACATTTTCTGATAGTCGAAGTGCCGATATTAAATTACACCGAACGAAATGTACCAACATCATTAAATTTGCATTGGCTCCACACTTTATTTCACAATTGGTTGCAGACATAGGCCATAATAAGTTTAGTATACTGGTTGACGAATCCACAGACATCTCAGTCACAAAAATTCTCGGCACATCAATCCGGTATTATGACAGTTCACATAAAAATATTATCACGACATTTTAAGGATTGGTTGAGATAGAAAACGGGACAGCTGATGCTATAGTAAACGGCCTCAAGACCCTTTTTGCAGAGCTTAAACTGAATATGAAAAACTTGATAGGGATAGGAACTGACAATGCCAGTTCTATGACTGGTGTCAACAACGGTGTTCACAGCTTATTAAAAACTGAAACTGGCAATGAAAATCTGGTTTTGGTGCGGTGCCTTTGCCATTCCCTGCAATTAGCTATCACTCATGCGTCTGAGAAGTCACTTCCGAGAAATATTGAGTTTTTAATCCGAGAAACATATAATTGGTTTAGCCACTCCTCCAACCGACAGTTGTTTTACAAGGAGCTATACAAGACCATTAACTGTGGAAAAGAACCATTGAAAATAACTCAGGTATGCAGTACGCGATGGTTGTCTATTGAGCCTGCTGTCCGCCGGGTTATAGATCAATGGCTGGAACTAAAATCGCATTTCGAAATTGTCAAACAAAAAGAAAATTGCTATATGGCTGAAATGCTTTATTCTATGTATAACGATCCTGTGAATCATCTGTATCTGCTATATTTATTGCCTATTTTAGATGAAGTGCAAAGGGTAAATAAAAATTTTGAAAGCAACGACCGAGACCCGACTAAACTGCTGAATGATTTGGTTGAACTGGTTGAATCAGTCGCCAGAAGAATCATATTGCCAATAGCGCAAATTGATGTGTTAACAGCTACAAATCTTGAAAGCTATCTAGACCCATCTCCATACATGGGCTATGGTTTCGAACTAAAGCTGACTGAATATGAACTTTTACCTGAAGCCGAACGTAATCTGCGGCACCGCTGTAAGCAGTTTACACTTAAACTTATACAAGAAATGCGATCAAGGTTGCCAACAAATATAACAATACTACGAACAATGAGTATGCTTTCTGTACAAGAAACTTTAAAAGCTATAAAACCACCGATAATAAAACTAGCACAAGAGTTCGGCTGCCAGGCCAATGAAATAGAACGTATAGTTGTACAGTGGAGGAATATTCGACATACCGACTGGGAAAATAAGTGTTCAACTGTCGAATTTTGGTCGGAGGTTTATGGATACAAAGACTCGGCGGATAATAATCCATTTTCGGAGTTAGCTTCTTTGGCCATATCTATTCTTTCTTTGCCACACTCGAATGCTGAGATAGAACGAGTATTCAGCCAAATGAATATAGTAAAAACAAAGTTAAGAAATCGTATGTCACTACATACACTGAACTCGATCCTACACATCAGATATGGCCTTAAAAGATCAGGAAAATGTTGTCATTCCTATAACGTTCCCGAAAATGTTTTAAAACAGATTAGAGGGATTAAAGAGTCGCTTGTAATGCCAATGACTATTGCTATTGAAGATGGCCCTTCAACATCACAAGCACAAGCACACGACGAAGCTGATATTGATGATCTACAAATATTATTTGATTTATATTGATGATTAAAATTACTTTAAAATAGCACTGCATTTTTAGTTACACTACCTACTTGCAATTTATTTTTATTTCTTATTCATTTAAACAAGACTTAGCAGCTGGCATTTTTTTTGGCATATTCAAGTGTGATTTAGCATTTTTTTAGCATTATCGCCGCCAAAGTCTAGCATTTTTTTCATTTATAAAACGGCAACACTGCTTTCGAGCTCGCCTTCTCAATGCTAGGCAGGGCGTTGAGCAAACAGGTCTCTGTTATTTTGAACAGATCACACAGAAAGATATATTAGGTTTTATTTTATGTATGAAAATGACTTGAATGCCTATGTTACATTACAATACAAATATAATATTATAAATAAAATTTAGTTTTATGACCATGATTAAATTTTAATTAACGGTAAAAAGGTATAATTTATTTATAAACAATAATAATATATAAATGTTAACATGTATAATATGACATGATATATTATTAATTGATTTAGGATTGAGAATTCTAGTATTACAATTATTACTTACTTCAAAAAAAAAAAGGGGGCGTTTAGGAATCAATGTTTACCGGTGGCTTATCATTATAATTTGTGTCTATGATGGTATTTAAGGTCTTTTAAGACTGAATGGTATAATGTCTTAATAGTCCATATTAGTTATGAATGTTATCAATGAAAGTTTTTTTTATTCCTTGAGTAGGCACAAGCACTTGGATATATAATACTTACTACTACAAAAGATTACACCATTATGTGTTACTTGAATATGTTTAATATGTTAGTGTTACATTTAATCTTCCTTTCATGTTATTTTATTTTTGGGTAATTACTAGTCCATCTTGATGGTTTATTTAGTGAGGATTATTCTTGCTGGATGTTGAACAGTTTGATGGTTGTCGGATTTGGTTTTGGTAAGCTATGTAAGTTACCGATTTGGGTGGACTAGGCTTGCCCAATAGATTACTTACTATATGTTATAAATGTTAAGCTACATACGAATGTTGTACATTTGAGTGGACGAGGTTTGTCCACTGGATTATTATATACTTTATATTGTTTTAAAATCCATGTATGTAAACTGATTTGAGTGGACTATGTTTGTCCACTGGATTACTATAGATTATATGTTTTTATAAATCTATGTATGTTTACTGATTTGAGTGGACTATGTTTGTCCACTGGATTACTATAGATTATATATTTTTATTAATCTATGTAATGTTTACTGATTTGAGTGGACTATGGTTGCCCACTGGATTACTATAGATTATATATTTTTATAAATCTATGTATGTTTACTGATTTGAGTGGACTATGGTTGCCCACTGGATTACTATACATAGTATATTTTTAAGCTATATATAGTTACACTGATCTGAGTGGTCTATGTTTGCCCACTGAATTAATATATATATATATACCACTATTTTTTTTATGACTTGCAAATAAAATGGTCAAGTATTTTGATAATTGTTAAAACATCAGAATGCAGCAGATTGAATTGTGAAATAAAATGATACTTGAATTAATTCTGTCTCATGTGTTATATACAACTATTTACATACATACTATGTGTATAATTTGGTTATATTTCTGATTTCTCGGTATATGTTGCTGAATGGATCATGTTGAGGGATTTTATATGCCTTACGGTAGCGATTGGCAATGAAGTCTGATAGCGAGACCTGTGTGCCTAGTGAGAGTTCCACAAAATAATTCGAATGACTTCACCATCGCGTTAACCGAGTTAACGCCATACCTATCGACAAGTGAAGACAAGCGAGTGTGTGTTACAATCGAAGCTAACCTTTCGATTTGCGTTTACTCACCGTGAATCGCGTTCGTTCCTTCTCTTATGTTGGTAACACGTTAGCATCGTGAAATAAACTAACCAAGTTTAGGATGACATAGTTACTTAGTCGTCTTAATATTAGAAGCTGTCTATCAAAGTTGTGGTTATTATAGCATCTTTCATATACTTTGACAGTTTGTTTGTTGTGAACTTACGATTATTGAAAATATTAAATTATAATTATAAGTAAAAAAATATGAAGACTAGTTCGTCCCAATTCGATTTGATGGTGACAATTATGGAGCAGTAAGTTGAATTTAATTTATTTAGTGTTTAGGGAACATATTAATATGTTGTTGTATATTTTGTAACTAAGTTTATTGGTTTTAGGCATGGAGATCTCAGCAAACCATCCAATAATGCAAGAGGTAGGATGGCTTGTATAAAAAACTGGGAGGAATTAGCTCAATTTTTGAATAGTGATGGTAGTGGTGATACAAAAAGTACTGAGAAATGGAAGAAGGTACGTCTAAATGATTATTTATTTTTATATATTTTGGTTTAAACTGGGTTTTGGTTCTCTAATTCTATGAAACATTGAAGTCCGTAGTATCTGCCTACCCCTCTGGGTGACAGGCGTGAGTGTTTATGTATGTATTTGCTTCAAAAAAAAAGCCAACTTGTTTGTCTTTTTGGTTCTTGTACACAACTACTAGGTATATTGATTTTGTTGAAAGTTTCATTTATATTTTTCATATTTAAGGTTCTCAATCTTGGAACGACCCAGGGCAATCAACACAACCTCATGTTGCCAAGAAAGTCAACCAGGGCCTGCTTTGTCGGGGCAAACTACACTCTGCCGTGCAAGACCAATTCGTACTCGAGGATCACCTCGAAGACGAGTGAGGCCAGCACACACAGAGCAGGCAGCACAAGGGACTCCGGTTCTCTACACTCACCATATGAAACACAGCAGTGTTAGGCTGCTATTTTACGCTGGTATTCTGTGAGAGCGTGGTCCTTCCCCGGTCGAGCCGACCTATTCATGCTACAACTATACTACTATTATAGCTGTAGCATGGCTCTACAAAATAATTTAGATTACTTTTCTGTTCTGTTTCAATGTTCTTGTAATTATTAAATTATTGTATTAAGTTGTAATTGTAATTATTTAATTAAATTTGTGATAAAATTTAAGGCTGGTTATAAATAAAAGAAAGATTTAAGCTTATTCAAATTTATTTATTTAATCCCTATAGTAACCTTCTTGCTAATTGATCTCTTAATATTCTACCTTGAATTAAATCAGAGGTAGGTTCTCTTTCTGTGTAACTTATTTGATCAGATTCCACCATTCTTTCAAATTGCAGACCTAAAAATAAATCATAATTAATAAGTTTACTGTTTATAAGTTAGCTTAATATATTATAGTAATTCAATTTAAAATTAAGATACCTACCTATATTTTCCTCTGTATCCTCAACACCAAAATTAATAATTATATTATGTAACACAGAGCATGCTAAAATAATGTGTGCACATTTTACGGGCTTGTAGTGCAAAACTCTATCCTTGTGCAGACATCGTCATCCATTTTTCAGCCTTGAAAATGTGTTCTCAATAACAACTTGAGCTCTCATGTGTTTTTCATTATAATTATTGGACTCAGTGTCTAAAAATGGTGTCATAAGCCATGGGCGTTGGGGATATCCAGAATCTCCTAGAGTTAAAATATACATGTTATTGTCAATAATATAGATAGAAATTATTTAGTAATGTTTTACTTAAAAATACTTCATATAACTCAAAACATCCCAATAAGTTATACTGTGGATATATTACCTAAAAGCCAGACAATTTCTCCATTTTGGTGCAAAGATTGCATGTATGTGTTTAAATTACTGTTTTCCCATATAAAGGAATCATGATTAGCACCTCCAAACTTGGAATTCACATTTAAAATTCTATATTCATCACCACCACATACCTGAAAAGAAGACATTTTGTTTATTTTCTACCCCTTTTTAACCAAGGAAAAATAAAAAAACTTAATATTTACCATTTGAACATTAAGTGAATGGTAGTGCTTACAACTATAATACAAATGTTCCTCTTCTTTTGGTGGGGCAACTATTTTAAAATGACTTCCATCAATACAACCTACCACTCCAGGGATTCCATATTTTCTGTAAAAACTGAATTTTAAAATAAATATTAACTGAATCTAATGATTAATTTGCATTAGGTTGTTTAAAAATAAGCATATATTTATTATCGTTGACTAACTGCTTGTCTAGCAGCTGGAGTATTAGGGAACCGAATATATTTATTTATTATATTTTTGTGTGTCAGCGCTGGGTAACTTCTTCTATGTACACACTACACATTATTTGAGACGTGTGCTTTGTAACCCCAACTGGCATTTGGTAGGATCCAGTTGCAAAAAAGAATAGAGCAGTGAGCACCTGCAATTAAAAAGAGAACAAACTTATATTTAAACTTGCACTTGTTTTAAACTTGAGTTGCAAAAATGTGAATACTTTAATGATCGATACATACTTTATGTTCCAAGGAAACGCGTTGAGAGGACCTAAGATTTGTCAAACTCCTTAGCTCTTTACACAAAAACTTGAAGACTTTCTTGGAAATGCGATATCTATCTTTAAAGTGCCTCCCCGTGAGGTGTAACAAAGGGTTCAAAGATGCACGAGTTCTTCTTTCAACATTGGCTTTATAATTGCGCTCATCTTGTGCCTTAGCGGCTGTAAACATCCTCCATGCGAAAAAAAACGTCCTGCCATAATTAAATATTGTTCACACAAACCGAAATAAAATTAAACCTTCAACAATCGTTCTCACTATGCTTTCTCACTGTCAAAATTTAGGTGAAAACTTTTTCGATATCGACCGCGTAAACTTTATTTATGTTAGATCAAAATTGGAACTCGCACTCGCAAAATTCTTGAAACAACCAATCACGTGCGTTTACGTTCTCGCTGTCGAATGCGAGTGAATGCTCGATGGTGGATATCGACGACGTAATAAACTCGCACTCATGAACTGTGATTCCGATTATTGCCACTAGTTGGCGCTGATTTTATTCCATACAAATTGTAGTTAACTTTCTCGCTATCGAGCGCGTAAAAAAACTCGCACTAGGCACACTGTACACCGCCTGGTACGCCGCCAAGGAGGAAGCGATGAGCTGAAAGGGTTAAGA